TCTTGAGGTTGGTATCGGCGGTGTCAGTAGGATCACGATGGTAAATTGATTATTTAACTTATTAACATTGTATAAATATCCAACACACGCACAAAAGTAAAATAGTAAACAAGAGGAGACACATTGACATTTCATGTGAAAAATCATGGAAAGAGAAAAAAATTATAGGCTTAGCCCATTTAAAATAATCTATTATCTAATTATTGGTACATCAGTCTACTTTTCTTCAGAATTAAGAAGAATGGAGTTAAAAAAGTTATAGAACAGTTGTTCATCAATAATAGTCGTGACATGGTTGTAATGAGCGTAATTTTCGGCGATGGCAGGTTATAAGGGTCGTAGTTGATTGTTATGAATGCAGTAGTCCGCCATTAATATTATAGATGGTGATTGTAGTATCAGCTTATCGTATAGATTGTAGATGAAATTCATGGTATTTAGCTTCAAACGTACATCCGGAGGGTGCAAGTTTATTACATCAATAGATTTAATGTTTGTCATACTTCGTAATTTAGATAATAAAACTTATATTTTGGCCCCTTGATTAAATTCAGTTAATAAAAAGTCGTTTATATGTGAAAATAATTAAAAATAAATCATTATAAGTTTAATAGCCAAAAAAAGAATTCAATGTGTAGGTGTGCAGAGAGGATGAGTTTCGAGCCAGAGCATTAGAGAATTCACATACGAAGTAGATATCAATTGATAAATTTTTGCTGATTGTCACTTTAAATGTAAGCAAAACTCTTTAGACTTTAAGTATTATTGGGCAACCCCCAAGATATAATTAAAAAAGTTGGACGTGTCTCATTGAGAGCACTCTGGACCCCTAACAGATAAACACGTGTGAATATATGATTGTTGATAGCTTTAGTAAGCATTCTTTTGGTGGATATTTGACATGAGTTATTTCGGTCTGATCTCAATTGGGCGTATATGCTTGGTCCATCATTGCAAGAATTGCTGCACAAAAGTTTTCCATGTTCTTTTTCTTGTTTGTCCGTTTTTGTCGTATGTTCAGTTTTTTTTTGTTCATCTATTATCTTGATCATTCACATGATCCGAAAGAGAGATTTATTCGGAAAATAGAAGTATACGAAGAAGAACAAAATGACAACATATTTAAAAATAAAAATAAAAACGAACAAAAACACGAGTAATTGTCCCCGCTGAAATTTGCAAATTCTTAATATAAATAACAATTTTTAATATTTTCTTAAGCAGTTTAGACAATTTAGTAATTTTGCATCGCTCATATATATATTTTTTCAATATTTATAAAATTTAAATATTTGATTCTAAGGAATTAAATTTAATTTCGCACGTGTAAAAATACACAAAAGTTCACAGGCAATAAATAATAATTCAAATCTTTCAAAATAATTTAGAAAATTCTTATAAACAGTACTTTTTGAACGGTTCGCCAGGAGTTGTATGGCGTTATCTTATCCACATAA